TTAATACATACAAGTCAACCTTCTTGCAAACAACATAAGGTTAAATTACATGTTAAATCATATTACTAGCTCAGCCATTCTTCTTTTATATGTCTTTAAAACATTGAGTGGTGTTTGAGATTGCTGATTTCCTACAATTTAATTTATTTTACATCATTCTTTCCCAATAGCTATGTCTAAGAGAATTTCCTTTCTGTAAACTAGAAGCAACCATTTGGGGAATGTGGTCAGCCATTATGTGCAACAGAAGCAATGCCACTTATTTTAGCCTTTCCTGTGTCTAGTTCAGCTCATGGCTGAACTATGCTGTATCTTTCAGGTGGACACCCACTCTTGATTTAACACCTCTGTGTCAAAATGAAATTATCACATCTCTTCCTATTCTGTTCCAGTGCTTAATCACTATAACTGTAAAAATTTAATATTTCTTTTTCTTTTTTTTTTACTATTAGTTTCAAGTTAGCTGCCTAGTTTTCAGCCACTGCAATTTTTTTTTCTATGTCTTCAGCTAGTAAATTTCAGAGATGCGCAACTTTGGGCAACTTCTTCACAGGTAACAGGTTATTGACTCAGAACAGGTTTCTTATTAAACTTTTTTCCGAATAAATAATGCAAATACATCATTAAGTATAAGCAAAAAGATTCAGGTAGTTTAGTTTTTCACTCTCCAGATTGTCATTTTAGATTGCAAGCAAAATTTGTACATGTACACGTTAGAAAGAATGAGATATTGGTAACTAACTCTGGAACTGGATTCTACATTTTATCTCTGGAACATCTTCACATTACGGAGACATTCATTCTAATGAGAAATGTAACTCAGAAAACTGAAAAATATCGAGACAATCTTCACTGAACTAAATGTACTCTTTCACCCCATATTAGATGCCACTTTCTTTTCCCCTTGGGTAAACCACACCAGTATTAAACACAGATGGAAGCTCACAATTTATCAGAATCCCACCATCTCTATTTTTTGTGTGCACAGTCTTTTATAAACTGTTCTTATATATCAGCTTTGGTTAGAAAGCTCATGCATATTATACTATATTCCTCATTGCAAATGCAGGAAACTTCAGGCAAAGTGTTTTAAAATGTGCTACACTTTTTAAGCAAGATAATTCATGTATATAACTAACTACATCAGTTCCACCTGAACTTAGTAATTTTTATTAAGAATGTATTCTGTTTAATTCTGTTGGTATTTGGGGTCTGGAACAAATGGTAAGTGCTCAGTGAAAAAATCTTTGAGATGTATTCTGCCTTAGTAGGAGACCGGAAATGTATTTTATTTAGGAGAGCAGACAGGTGTCTTCTTGATAGCGTAAGATCTCTTTATTCTAAAGGATTTTTATTATCTTGAACATTTTTTTCTTAATATTGTAGACTCCCTCTAAAGCCTTTGTCTTTCATGCCTTCCAAATCTTTACACAATAAATAGTATTGTGGTGGATCAACCTTGGCCAGGTGTCAGATGCCCAGCCTGCCACCCTCTCATTCACTCTCCTCAACTGGAAAGGGGGAGAAAATAAGACAGAAAAGCTCATGGGGCAAGATAAAGACAAGGGAAATCGCATATTGGTTTCCATCATGGGCAAAACAGACTTGACTTGAGGAAAATGAATTTAATTTATTGTCAGTTAAAATTAATTTTGGTAGTGAAAAACAAAGGCAAAAAGTTAAAACAACACCTTCTCACCCTTGCCTAGGCTCAACTTCAGTCCTTCACTCCCTGTTCCTCTACCATCTCCAACCCGAGCAGAGCAGGGAATGGGGAATGGGGCACAGACTTAATTCCCTTTTATATTTTACAATGAGTATTTATATTGTTTTGTGATTAAAATTTGTATTATGATTTGGCAATCGTTTTTCAAGTTCTGCACATGTGACCCCAAAATTCTACTTCCTTGGTCTCACTGTGTGGAATCAGTGGGTAGACTACCCTCTCACAAACACTTTTAAATGTGTGAATTTTATTCTTGCACATTTCTTTTACAATCCTTTCTCTTATTTGGTTGCGTTTTGTTTGTTGTTTTTTTTTTTTAATAGAGTTGATAACCCATTACCTTTTGTGCACAGAATGATCATGTAAATACCCCTATAATACCTAAATAGACCAAGAATAATTTTTCTGCAATGATTAATCTCAGAAAGATCAAACACCGGTATTATTAGTCTTGGGCACAAAGAAATTTAAATAATTGTAAGAAAATACTTTCTAACTTGGTATTACTCCATTTTAAGTCAAAGGACATTTTCTCCTTGACTGAATGTTTGTGCCACTGCTTTATTTCCATTCAGGTATTAGAAAGGGCACTTAGAACTATATATTCTGTCAATTCTAGGAACTTGAACTCAGCTATATTTTGGCTTTTAAGTACATTCCAGTTGGTGTTTGGGAGTTCTTAACTTTTGTTTATACATGATATCCACTTTTACGAAGTAAACCTCAATAAATTTCCATAGTAGAAAATGCCTTATTTAATAACATTTTTAAACTTTTCTTTCCCGAGGTAAACTGCAGTGCTGGCAGTCTGTAAGTTGACCAAAAGATGGACACTTTCTTTATACTTGTCTTTCTGTGAAATATGATGCTATATACATCCATCCTAGATAGCCGTAAAAGCTGCTGTTCAAGAAGAGAGGCATGAATAGTACTTGTGATGAATAAACCTGAAAGGGTAAGCTTGCTTTGGATGGCTTTCAGAAGTTTGGAACTTTATAGAAAATATTTAAGCACTTCAATATTGCTCTGCCATTCTACAAACTTCAAAAGCATGGTTGTTCTCATCAGGTAGTTAATGTTGTCCATTCTAAGTCAAATGGAACATGCAACAAGAGATTGAAATGCAACTAGAAGAGCAACAATATTCCTTCAATTCTTTTTTCTGAATATGGGCCAGGATCCTATTTGTGCACTTCTCTCAACCAGCAGGAGCTCAGCCTTATTCTGGTTTGGTTTCATCTAGCTGTTCTTCATCTGATAACAAATATGAGCCAGTGCTTGGGTTAAGTTGGCAACAATAATGTCTTCCTACACTGCAAAGGGTAAGCAGAGAAAATTATATCTGTATATTGTTGATGTCAAAGTTCAAATATCTCACCAGCTCCTATAGCTCTATGAAATGCTGCTAAGAACAGAACAGGAAAACAATCCTTAAAGAGCTTTGAAATTGGAAGTACTTACTGTTTTGTTTGTTTTAATCATTCCTACTAGGCAAAGGAAAAAAGGAAAAAAATGCTGTTTTAGTGGGAGTCTCTCTGTCTTGCAGCCTCCATCAGATAGGACGTTATGTTACTGTGGGCAATGCCAAAAGCAAAAGACAGGTCCAAGCTAATCTGGATGGAGAGCTGCCCTCTGTTTATTAACAGCAAGCAGCCAACCCTAAGTACTATTAAACCTGATGCAAATCCATGACTCCCAGCTTGTGTCAAATCTGAGATGTTGGCTTCATCTGAGATGCTGCAAGCAGCTGCTATTTCACTTCTCAGTGGAGTGGACCATTTGATCCTGGATAGAAGTCAGACATAGCAGGTGAAACATCCACAGTTCACAGGACATAAAACGTCATTGTGATGTCCTATATTGGTGTTATCTGCAATTGCTTTGATGTAGAGAGATTGAACTTGAGACTCCCAAGATCTGTATCATGAATTCTTCAGCTAAGTAACTGGCCTCTGTTGAGTCAGACAGTGTCCAACGCATAACTCACTGTAGGTGCTAGCCAGAAGTGAAGGACAGCACACTTTAGAGCATCCTACTGTTCAGCTGGTTTGAATGAGAGCAAGGAATTGTGACAGGTCATGCGTCTGCACCATGTGGATTAAGACACCCTTCTAAAAATGAAAGAAGTCATGACAGTGTTATTCAAAGATGTGGGCTGGAGGCACGATGTCAAAGGACAGTGAAACACTTTCACATCTCATGCAGTCCAACACAACTTTGGAGCTCATACTGACCTAGGGATCCCATGCAATCAAATTTCTTCCTATTACTGAAACTGCATTTGACATATTCAAGGTTCCAAAACTTTCAAATATTTTCTGCTTCACGCATCAGTAATTTTCTCTATAAGGAAACAACATATTCAAAACTCATATACTCTCCTGCAGTTTTGTTGCATCTGCATCCACTGCACCTTCCCCAGAACATCAAACACCTCCATCGTGGCTTCTCTTAATCTCCCCCTTCATAAAGACTACAGGCTTAATTTTTTGTTTCCTCACAGTTATAATACATGCAACCATTTGTCATCCCAGTGACAATACTCTTCTACATTCCTGCAATATGGTGCTCAAAATACGTAACTGTTTTTAAAGCTGTTTTCACCTTCTTATTTTTATTTTTGGGGGAGAGAAAAATAGAAATCTTTATTTTCTTCTACATGGCTAGGCAAAAACAGTTTTACTGTTCTCCATTTTTCCTTAAATTTTCTGGACTTTTTTAAACTTGCTTTTTTAAATTAGACACACTCAAAGTATACAACAAATATAGACTGAAGTTTGATCAGTTTTAGATTTAAAAATAACCTGCTGCTAGACCAATTTTACAGCAAACCTGTCAGAAAGTCACTCACATGTATGTTTCTTTACAGTCACGTTCTGCTGTCATACGCCTTTACCTATCTCACAATTGTTCGCCATCTAGATACTCTGCATCATTCAATTCAGTGAGGCATCCCTTAAACTAGATAGAACGAAATTCTTTGTGATCATTCAGCTGCTATTATCTTCAAGCATGTTATCCACTGGCATAACACTTTTTAAGTCTTGGAAGTTAGCCTGCCTAATACATACATCAGAATTCGATAAAATAAACCAAACGTACCTATTGTATTCTAACGACAGGACAAAACTAATCACTTTAATACAGAAAAGTCTCTCACCAAAAAGAAAGAAAGGACCACTTAGAAATAAACAAGCAAAACAGACACCTACAAAGTGGATTGTATCGCCATTTAACTGTTGGAAATGTGAGAAGTTAAATGATTTCTACTTACAAAACATTATGTCCTTGTAGACAGTTCAGTAGTTTGCAGCAGGCACTCCTCTAGAGTTTGTTTTCCACTCTGCTTTGAACAGAAAAAGTCTGTTAAGCATTAGCAAAAGCAATTACTTTTTTCTAAGGCTTCCTATATTTTACTCCTCATCCCCCACTGCAGCATTGGATCCCCTGAGCAGCTGCACTGGTGGACACCTCCCAAGCCTGACAGCGTCTTAAATCAGGCCTCACTGGCAAAGGGACAACTGACAGGTAAAAACAGAGTAATAGTAAGAAGCCTATTACACAGGAGACAATTAGCAAGGGTTGGAACAGGCAGCCTCCTTTCCAACCTGAATCTTGCGGCATTTCTAGGGATGACTTTTCCCAGCAGAGCAGCTCCACCAGTCAGGGGCAAATACAGCAGCAACCATCCAGGAATCTCCGAACATCATTAGTTCCAGAAAACACCTGGGCTCTGTTTAAATACAAAGACGTCCTAATGCTGCTGCTGCTAGTAACATTTAAACGAATAAAAAGGGTGGGTTTTTTGATGAGGGATTCTGCTTTATTCTGCTGCTTCTTTTAGGCTTAGGACATGTTATCACCAAAATTGCTGCAGTCAACTTCAGTGGACTTCATGGGATTTACAATTTGTTAAAGGTATCCCATTTTGCTATTCATTTTCTCACTACTCACTCATTTTACCATCAAATCCTGTGAGTCCGAGTATTTAAAAGCTTGTGTAAATATCTTAGCTTTTTATCAGTCATATAAGCATATAATTGTCAGCTTCATGCTCTTTTGCTTTCACTTACCGTAGTTACAGAAAGTGTGATGTGCAAATTTCCTAAGGGACCCTTGAATAGATCCCTTTCACTCCTCACTGTTTTCCAATCCCTTCTCCAAACACAGTGAATTGCAGGTATTCAAAAGCCCTCGGGACACAGTCCTGGGCAAGTGGTTCGAGGTGGCCCTCCTTGAGCAGGGTGTGGTGGACCAGACAACCTTCAGAGGTTCCATCCAGCCTCAACCATTCTATGAATTTGAAGACATGACACTTCAGATGTGGTGAAGACTTGCGCCATAGGATTTTCGGACTGTGTTGAGATATGCAGGTTTCCACTCCCCTGAAAGGTGAAAACACTGAACAATCAAGTTTAGCAATATATTCGGACACCTACTGTAAATTAGAACACCCAGGAACATAAATTACTGTTGCATTGATACATTTAAACTCATAACCAGAGCTGAAATGCTGTTACTTAAGCCAACATGCAAAAAACATTTCACATTTTCCAGCAGGAGAAATTACTTATAAGGACTTACATTTGTTAAAATTGTTTCAACCATTCTCTGACAATCATAAAAATGAATAAAGGTGACATTTCACTGGATTCTGCCCACATAACTCTCTATTGATCTTGGTTAATCTTTAGATGTTACCCTGCTTCCGAGGTCACTTAACAGTGACATCTATATTGCTCATATAGTGTTAAAGTATTAGAATCCACATAAAATCATTGGTTTTTTTAAACAATATTACACCTTGCCATGGCAAATGCCAGTTACTGTACTGAACAGATTATTTGGGAAATGTTTGGGTTGATTTTTCAGTTCAGTCTGGCAGATAAATACAGCTGATGTATGTACACAAGAATTACTGTAAATGAAAATTCTGACTTTTTTTTAAAAGCTTCTGGAAGGAAACACTGTGTGTGAGAATTCTCGCTATTCTGTCTGTCATTCATTTTACAAGAAACATCTGGAGAAATTATTTTTAGTCTGTGTGAAATCATATACCTAGTGTTGTGAAGATGAAAAAAATCTATAGGTCTTTATTTCCAAAGAAATCACCTTTATCACTGATGTGCTTCACAGCATGTCTGACAAAACTCAGGAAAATAAGACATAATGGCAGATATTCTCAGTCCATTTAAAAACAAACACATACACATACACATCCAACCTTGTATGAAAGCACTTTTACCCTTACATCACCTCATTTTAGACAATAATACTTCTACATTTTCTTCACAGTAAAGAAAAAAAACCCATGCTTAGTAAATTTAACACTTGTGGCATGTTTAAATCTCCTAAATTTGATCTCTTTCATGTGTCCTTCCCACACGCAATATTTACTTTCAGTCTTTCCTATGCAGCTCTGACTTACCTGTTGAGGCGGGCAAAAAAGGATTCACGGAAATACATGTTGCTTCTAATGCATTAGTCCTCTGTGACGGTCTCCATCTCTGTTATTTTACACAAATCCCAACATCTTCACCTCAGGAACCTGAGGGCGAAGAAGCACCCTAGAACGGCTAAATTTTACAATGAGAATACACTCAACCTGAGAGTCCAGGTGCTTTTGAACCTCTTCCCACAATGACATCTTCTCAATGGAGGAATCAAAATAAATTTTTTTTAACTAATATGAGAGGATTACATAGAGACTATTCTAAGAAGGTGATTGTGGCTTTCTATTCTCTTGGTTTCCTACAGCAGTATCCCAAATGAATGGGATTATTGAATGACAAAAACATAACTGAAGTCCAAGAGACTTTTATGCTTTATCTGAAATCTTGATGGAAATATAAATTTAAGGACATTTTGCAGGTTCTCTCTTTTATTTCACACAGTATGTTTCTCAAAGAGTACTCATTACAGCAATGCTTCCTGTTCTGGCCATGGGTCCCTGAGGAACTCATCAGTGGTCCCTTCAGGGATCAATAGAAGACTTTTACTTAACTGTGAAATTGAGCCACCATTTACAAATAGAGGTCCTTGCAGGACAGAAGAGGTCATTTCCGGGGAGTTTCAAAGTGGAACGAAGAAAATCAATATGAACTCTGTTCAGAGAAGAGAGGAAACGGTTGTACAACGGGACATTTTATAATTGTTTACTGTCTGTTACAGTATCAGACAGCAAGCATAGGGTTTTTCTATGCCATGCATTAAGCAGAAGGCATTTTCTCAATGGAAAATAACTTCAGTAATTGATATACTAATTTTTAACATGTTTCAGAAACGGCAATCATTTTAAAGAAAGAAATACATTTCTAGAGAAAAATTAGAAAGAAATTCCAAAAGATAATTAATTATCGGCTCCAGTTGCAATTATTGCTCCTTTTAATGATTAATCTCATTTTAATTTTTTTTCATTGAACAGAGCACAGCCTCAGAAGTTTACATTAAACTATTTGTACTTACCTTAACTGGTTTGTATAGTCACATTGTCACCAGCTACTCAACCCGGAGGCATGTTTTCCCTACAGTGGGGGGAGCGCAGCAGTTAGCACCAGGTTTTCACAGATCAATCAGCTCTCACGTGGTTGTGTGAATTTTGAAAAGTGCTTAATGCTTCACAGGTCTCATTTTGGAAAATCAAGTCACCTCTGTTTCCAATTCCGTATCTTCCTGAAATTAAAAAATCCATTCCTAGATGCCCTCAAATTCTTTCAAGAATCTGCCCAGACTATTGCTCAGATTACGGTAGTATACCTGAAACTTGCTACATAGACATGAATAGGCAGAACTTTTATTATATTTATTTTTGAGATCTTGGCATAGATTATTGCTCACAGGGAAGAGGGGATCAAATCTGTTAAACCAGATAGTCTGTGGGAGCGTCTTCTACAAAGAAGATCCCCTGAATCTCTGCTCTGCTTGGCTCCTATAATCCAGCTGGACCATGGTCTTAACGTGACCACTCTAGCACATGCAGGATCCATTGCAACTGGCTTCTTTAAACTGCATTAAAAACACCTCCTAAGTATCTTACATACAAAAGACTGTGTTCCGTGACCTTTTCTGCCTCTGCAGGAACAGTTTCTATTGAGTATTTAGAAGTGTCTTATCTCTGTACAATTTCATCAATTTTGCAGCAGGAACCCCCTGGGGGAGTGTCTGGAAGGAAGGTACAGATTCTCCACCACAGACGTTGATCGTCACACTGAAGGACACAGCATGGACTATGCACAGAATATCCAAAGAAATTTTTAATTTGTTTGGGATTTTTTTCAGAAATCTAAATTAAATTTATGTATTTAAAACATTTATCAAAACATCAGCAGAATACAGCTGTTAAAAAGCACCTGTAACTGAGAAAACAAAATATTTCTGCAATACATGCTGCACAACAAAATGCAGCAGTTACCCACAGAGCACAAGAGAAGCTTTCTCCCATTGCCAATTTAATTACATACCACCTTCTATTTTTTCACCATTTAAGAAGTTGTGTCCTCTTTGTCATTGAAGGAAAACATAATGTCCTCAAAATAAAAGCCCTGCAAAATAGCATCAATGTTAATATTTAACAAAAATCACAAATTCCTAGTTGTAGAGTTTTCCTTTTTCTTCTTCACTTTAACAGTCAATAAGATGTTAGTTTAAAAATAAAAAAAAAAAAAAACCAAAACCAAACCAAATCAGGGAAGAATAGGAGAAATAAATATGCTTTAACATAAAAAATAACAAAAAAAAACTGAGTAAAAATTTCTATAATGCCAAAGAGTTTTAGAAGTTTCACCCCATTTTCAAAAGAAATAAAGGGGAAGTAGTAACTTGGGACTCCCAGTGAATTAAGGGAAGCATATTTAGACAGATATGTACAAACTCCCCTACTTACGTTCCACGCTAACTAGCTGCAGATTGCCTCATCCTAGAAGTTATCACCTGCATTAATATTTTGTTTAGGGAGAACTAATGTACCATGATAGAGCAACTGGATAGTTTCTAGTTTGGAGATTGCTTGCATTCAGTCACAGAAGGCGAGGATCTCCTGCACAGGAGCAGGCACAATTCATGCATTTTGGGAACGGTCATTCCTAAGGCTGAAACCCACAGGCTTCATGCCTCTCAATCGGGATGTATTTTCACAAGCGGTTTATGCTACTCCAGGTCCATGCTGCTGGTGAAAGGGATGATTCAAAGGTTCACCCTGGGTATGTTCCAGCCCTTTCTGGTTTAGTTAGCGATACTTGTGTGCAGCCATGTTGTGGTCTGGACCAAACAAAAATACCCATCTCTTGGATCCCACACTGCTAAACCCAATGATATAGCGGGCTTTAAGACACAACTATGAAAGAGGAATAAATAGAAATAGATAGGAAAGGTTTTCCTTTACCTCAGCAATCAAACTATGCAGTTGCAGAATGAATCCATACTTTTAACTATTATGAAAACTGCCAGAATATCACAATTAACCCGGTTATATAGTTAATTGCCTAAGAGAATGGGAAGGCTGGTTTGAGAGAGCTGCTATTGTCACTGATGGATTTTAGCAACCTGTCAGAGACAAGCTTCTGCATTTTTTGCAACTTTTTTGTCACCTTTGTATTAAGTATTGCAATAATTTTCTGGTTTGCCTTTCCTGAATTTGTGTATGTTGTTATTTTAAGAGAAAAGGAGTGAGTGGCTCAGGTGGACCTTTCTGGTGGCAAGAAACCACTGAGCCTCCCACAAGTCCTGGAAGAAGGGAGCACGCACAGGGAGCAAGAAGTCTGTAAATGATGCTGAAATTTAGAAAATGTTGGGAGAACAGGGTGCAAAAAGCCTTCCATTAGAAAGAACTTCTTCGGCTCCCAGAGGGAGCTGTATAGGGTTTGCTAGAATTCAAAGGTGGCTAAAATCCAGCATGGAAACACAAACCTTTATTCAAGGACGCTGAGGCTGAGGAAAAAGTTGGTTATAAAGCCTTTACTCTCCTTTTCTGCCTAACCCAGCTTGCCTAGCTTTCTCTTTTTAAAAAGTTAAACCTACTAGTTTGTAGTCTAAAAGCTCATAAATTTTCTCTAACATAAAAATCTTTTGATCTGCATTGGGAATTTCACTGTCATGAAAAAAAAAAGGTCTAGACAGCTCTGCCTGTTGGTCTGGGGACTCATCATAGTTATCTCCTTCCTGTACAACCAGGCACTAAGCAGTTGTAACTGGTGACCCTCTGTCCCTGCGAACCCCGCCAGGGTACATCTGGTATAAGGAAGGAGTAGAACTAATCTAAAAATAGAGAAAAAAGAAAAAGATGAAAAGTGAAGGGAATATGGGTCTATGCAATCTAGCAAGGACAGCAGACAAATGGAAGAAATTAAAGAGCTTTGTCTCCTTATGAAGTCAGGTGGAGATACACTAAAGAAAACTGTCTTTTCTTAACATAACCTTTCAGACACTCAGAAGTTGTTTCACTGTCTATAGATAAATTAAAGAAGTCAAAACCAGTTAACATTTTAGCCTATAAAATTTGAAAATATTGCTCTCCTAAAAAGAATTATTTTAGAAAATGAAGAATTTAATCTCACAATACCAGGACAGGAAGAAAAGTGAGGAAGAAACCTGTGAAGCGTTTTCAATAAATCTGAAATTCAGTCCAAGTCCTATTGATTTAGAGAAATTATGAAATCATAATCTGAGGCCAAACAGCAATGGCATTAGAAATCAAGACCTGAGAAAAAAAGTCCTAGGAAATCTTAATTAAATCCTTTATGGGGACTATTCAAGAGACAGCAACTTTCAGAGGCTGTGTTAATCACTTTGAATAGGAAAAAGTTTTATGACTTACAATTTAGACACTGACACATAAATTAATATGATCTCCTGCATTTCATTAAATGGTTTTGATGTCATATTAAACATGAAGAGATAAAACTCAGATTGTGCAGTGGGGAAAATAGTCTTACTGTCAGTGACTGAACCAGTTGCAAAACAAAAATCTTCAAAAAGTGGTTTGCATTGTTTCAGGATATAGTATCTTTCCTTGGGTTGAAAACATGGCAGGTCATTGAAAGAAATACTTTGAAAGAAAAGAGGTAGGCAATGAAGATTTTAAAAGTAACTAAAAAGACTGCAAAACTACAGAAAGACACAGAAATATCTAGCAAACAGTCAAAGGACAGGAAAGGAAAATTAAAAAGAAATGGTAGCAATTAAGAAAAGCAGCAAAGAGAAGAGCAGAAAGTGACACTATGCGTGTGAATACACTCAAAGGCAATTTAGATCCATGATCATAAGAGTCCCTTCTGTGATGAATCTTCTCTTATGAGACAGTGGGTAGCTACAGGCTCAAGGTTATTCTCCTTGTTATCCAGAAGTTGAAATATTTAACAATGCAAGTCTCTAGCATGTAAGAACACATATAACATCGATATACACTGGAGTTGGCACCTTGGCTGGGGTGAGAACAGGCAGTGGACTACAACTTGATTATTATGCGTTTAAAAGTTATGTTAATGACTACGATTTTAAGTGTATTTTACAATTCAAGCCTTCAGCTACATATATTCTACAAGCCTGTAGAAACTAGTATCAGTGTGGCAAAGCTCACACTTTTGTTTGGTACCATAAAATTGGCATCCTCAAAATGAGAATACTGAGTAACTTCTCAACATTGAACAATTATTCAATAGAAGGCTTAAAGGGAGACTGCCTGATTATATAATAGCTTATATTGTATTTTTAGAAATGTTATGCACACAAAAAGAGCAGTGGAAAAATACTACTGATAGCCGGCCACCTTTTACAGACACAAGAGAGTACACATGAGATACTATTCAGAACAGCTAAAGCTGAAATGGCAGGAAAAACTAAATCTTTTCATGCTGCTCCTGACTTATGCACAGAAAAAAGAAACCACTCTCAGCCTCTTCCAAGAAGATGGAAAAATAAATGGACATTCAGAATTTGAGGTCTGACACAGAGCAGGCAGGGGAGGAGGTGCTGCAGGAAACAGCCAGGAGAGAGCTAAATTCCCTGAGGTACCTTGGATGCTGAAAGACAGGGTGAACTCACAGGCTGCTGCGACACCTTGTCATGAGGCTCAGAGTGCCAGTCCCAGCTCACTCTTCTCTTGTATTCACCACCTTGAGACACAGCCTCCTGTGTGCCTAACCCCATTTGCCAAAGGTCAGGCAGTGCCCACTCTGCCTCCCTCCACCTCCCCCTTCTGACTGCTCCCCTGCCTCACCTCACGTAGAAATGGGGTTTTCTCCAGGGAGGCAGGTCAGCACAGCCATCTGGCAAAAAACGTCTTCCTTTAGCCTTCCTTTGTTTCCCACCAGGCCAATGAGCCAGCTGAGCAATCCCAGGCTCGCAGAGCCTCCCTCACAGCTTAGTTAACCTGATTCATTCATTAAAGAGCCACCTCATTAGTTCTGACAAAAGATACCCTGAGAACATTACATGATGTACAACAGCGCATTTTAGTAGAGTCTTCCTACACTGGCATGTACCCTATCAGTTTTGTACTCGGACTATAGCAAGATTACTATCTAGAGTAGGAAAAAAAACCATAGACTCCTGCCAAGAAGGGAGTGAGGGGTTGAGAGGGGGAGAAAGAAATGTAAAAACCCCAAACCACTAGGAAAAACAAATCTGTTGACTAAAATGTCAACCACTCATTCCAATGGCTGAGGTTTTTTAAAAGGGTTCTGCACAGGCCTAACTTCTTTCCTCAATAAAATCTCACATTGGGATACTTCATGGATAAAACTTACCCTGGCACAAGAAAATGTGAGCTGTAATAAATAAGTGGCATGTATATTTTGGAGAAGTTGAGAATAAGCATACCGATTCACTGCTTACTCCAAGGGCTGGTCACCTAAGCAACCTAATTATGCTGTGCATGCAATCTGCTTCCATTGAACGTTCAACACTGATCATTTCATGTGACTGCTATATACGGGGACAAAGACCACGTCTAGTGTCTGGATGTGTGCCATGTCTTTCTAAGACAGATGAGGTTTACTACTATTCTGTACAGCAGAGTGAAAAAAAAAAAAAAGTAACTCAGACTTTCTGATTTACCATTGTGATCTTGTACACTTTCTTCCCAATGGCTATATACAGAATATAATTACAACCTGCCATCTTTTTTTTTTTTCTTTTTCCTTGCTGAGAAAAATGCAATTTGGTTGAAGCTAAATGTTTTGTGAGAATGAATCAATTTCAATTA